AACAAGGAGAGATTCCTGAGGAGAAAATAGAACCTTCATTAGGTATTGTACAAGGTTGAAGCTGCACAATCTCTATTATAGCTAGACAAACTCATTTTTTGATATATTGTCTTCTCTGACATTTGTACTTTTTATTTTATAATTGCGTCGCTTCTTTGGATAATGTTGAGCAATGTATTTAGGTTCTTTATAATATAAGCACAATCCTTTCTAACAACAATGAGTCTTTTCTTGCTTAATAAGAGGTTGAAACATATTGTATCAATTTACATATCCTTTACTTTTGAATGTATGTATTGAAGAAGCGTTGGTATTGCCATTGAATTATAGTAACGTTGAAGCACACTTGTCCAACTCTCATATCAAAATTTGAAAAGTCAATTGTCACACTTTATAACAAAGTTAATTGTTTGACTCAATGTTTGAGGATCAAGTAAGTTGAGCATCAATTTCTTTACCTTATATTGTAATCCATAGAAAAATTGGCTAATAAGTGCAGCATTATCCTACTTAATATTAGTTACAAGTTGTTGAAATTATGAAGCATATAATGTTACAGATTGATTGCATTATCGCAAAATATGGATCTTTTTGGTTGCAACACAAGTTGTATTATGTTCTCTATACATGGATCGAAACTCTACTAAAAAAGCCTCCAAATTATACAATATTGGATCTCGTCATTCAAGAAACGATTAAAACCACGATAATGTTGAATATGAAAGAAATGTACTAATGAAACTAACTTGTGATCTTGGAGTTGGATAGCTTTGAGATTGAAGTTCAATCACAAGTTGTACTTGATTAATAAATCCTTGAAACTTGGATCTTGTACCAACAAACTTCTTAGGCAAGAAAACTCTTGGTTCTTTAGTACTGGAAGGATGTTTCACTATAGGAGAAGGGATATGATTGGGTATAGATGTTGAAGTAGCTCCAATCATATCTATATCATCACTCCCTGCCATTCTTGTTGTTGCTTGTGGTAGTAAACTGAGTTGATGCATCGCAAGCATTAACTCCATCAAATATTCTTGCATTTGTATCATTGCACACTTCAATTTAATAAGCCCTACTATGATAATATTTAGAAAATAAATGTCTAATATTACTCAAGACAAGTAGAAGAGGAGACTTGAGAACAAAAAAAATACTAAGAACAATATTAGTTTAGAAGACGGTAATCCAGAATTTCTAATACACTTATATCTTATCAAGAAAAAAAAATAATCCACTCTTAATCAAGAGAAGACAAAGCTCTAATATTTTAAGTATACTCATATCAATCTATCAAAGATATGAACTAGAAGAAGATGCATAAACTTAAAAAATCTATATTTAAAGAAAAGTCACAAAATAGTAATAAAGTAGTATGTATATTGAAAGAAAAATAGAATGACTATTGCAAAAAAAACAAAGAAACTAGAGACTTTTAAATCTAAAAAAGAAGCAAAAAAAGAGTTGATAAGAGTGAACAGGACTTCACTTTTGCCTCTATATATACTATCTAATTAAGACCTACGTTGTCGGGAGAAAGAGAGCTTGTCTTGAGAAAGTGTTGGGCTTTTGGCTGACATTAAATTCTCAATTAATCATAAGATGAAAAATACTCCAAGAATATTTATAATTTTATTTTTATTCCTTTCCATAATATTAAACATAGTAGCAATAAACATCAAATGCCAAGCCTCTGGTAATAATAAAAGTTACAGAAATAAATAATAATTATCCGACCTCTAGTAATAGTAAAAGTTATAGAAATAAATAACAATTACAGGACCTTCAATAATAATAAAAATTGTAGCACTAAATAATAATTATCAGACCTCCAATAATAGTAAAATTTATAGCAGTAAATAATGATTATTAGACCTCCAATAATAGTAAAATCAAGTAGTAATTTCCAAATCTTTTGTAATTTCTAAAAACCTTTTTGTAGTAGTAAAATCCTTGTAATACCAAAATTTCTTCAATATTGAATCCCTTTGATGCATTGAACTTTAAAATTTGATACTTCTCAATCCAATTGTTAGATTGAGCTCAAATTATCTAAAAATTAAGGCAATACCTTTTATATCCAATTTTCAACTGTCAATTCTTTATAAAACTCTAGATAACACAATTTTAGTAGCATGGCCTTTACATATTGACTCACAAACACCTATGTACTGATTTTGTGATTTCTTACAAACCCAACACTCAAATGACATATTTTTTTTTTATTTTTTTATTTTTTTTTGTATAGCTTCTCAATATTATAACTACATCTTTGGAAAGTTGAGCCAAAATTCATTCAAAAATGCTCAAAAAAATGGCTCAAAACATAACCATCAACAATTTGGTTCACTTCCTATCTTAATTTGTAAGTTCTAACTTCGACCCACCATTTCTTCTTCACTTCAGATCTGATTTTATCAAATCTTATACAATAATTGAAGCCCTTCAAGTCAGCTTTCTAACTCCTCCTTCCGATTGTTAAATGCCTTTCTACAACTCTTTGTATGCTTGAAAGAGTGACAGTAGGTACAAATTTCACATCTAGACTTTAAATAGCCATGATTCTCTCATTGTAGACTCAAAGTTAACAACCCTTGCACGAAAATTGTATTCCTTTAAACCAGCTTTCCAACGACACCTTTCATTTCCCAAAAAACCTTCTACAACTTTCTATATGCTTAAAAGAGTGACAGTTGGTAAACAATTCACACCCTAACTTCAAACAATCTTAACTTCTTTATAAAAAATTCAAATAACAAACTTTATACACCAAAATTATAGCCCAAAAAACAAGCTTTCTGAATCTCCCCTCTAAACCCTCGAATGCCCCCGAAGAAGTGGCCTCCCCTTCGGTTTTCTCTCACACAGCCCCTTGAAGCTCATTGGTCATGACTTATAGCCAATGAGAGTGAAGATCCTCTTATCCTTGCCTTATCTATCCACGTAGATGGCCTAAAGCCACAATATTATAATATCAATACTCATATCTTTCTAAAACTTTCATATTAAATAACCCTAATACTTTTATTTTTACTTATAAAACTTACATAAGTTATTTAAGATTTCTATAAACCATGAAATTCTATGGAAAATAACTCATTATTTTTTAAGGTCATTATTAAATAACATCAATATAATAACCATTATTTTTACACTATGAATAAATTACAACATGACAATGTGGCAATATTCTATATGACCTCTAATATGTGTTGACTTTGCATGATACATGTTTTGACTTACAAGGTAAGTTTTCTATGTATGGACTACATAGTTAGCTTGTTCTTCAAGCTAACAACATGTGTGGTACATGGCCAACTTATTGACCATGTTTTTAACTTAAAAAATCAATTATAAATACCTATAAAGTCAATATAGCATCTATGAAGCTTCTGAGAAGCTTCTATAGAAGATATTATAGAATTAACCTACTTTTATCTATTTTTATCTAATCATATAGGTAATTATTGGTTTACATGTGTATGTCTATAATACACTACTATTTTGAGCTTCAATTGTTCAGATGCTTCTTGATTTCTCAATCTTGGTGCAAACAAAAACAAAACAAAAACAAAAATTAGAAACCTTAAGAAGTAATTTTGGACCAAAATTTTTGACCAATCTTAAGAAGGCTCATGTGGCAAATCACTAGAAACCAACACTCTCAAGACTTTTTAACTTTTTGATGTAATGAAGTATTAAATGTTGTTGAAGATATTAAAGTTTTTTAAGAACCTTGTATCATATATATATTTAAACTCGAGGCTAAAGATATGCACAATATATATACCTTCAAGTATTAATTATTAATTTATAGAATGTAAATTCAATGTATTGTAAACTAGTGGAGGTGATCAAATTTTGGAAACTTGTATTTGATTTACAATCACTTGGAAACCATTTTCTACACCAATTTTTTTATTACTTCTTTGTCCCAATGCAGATTTTGATTACTCTCCTTTTCTTCTCTATCCCAGTAAGGATTTTGGTCCTCCCTCCTTCTCTTGCCTCAACACGAGCTTTGGTCCATACTAGAACAAGGAAAAAAGAAAAGAGAAGTGGATTCCATACTAGAGCAAAGAAAAAAGGGAGAGGACTAAGATCCATGATGAGACAAGAAAAAAGAGATTTGGACAAGCCAAACAAAATCCTTAAGTCTGAATATAGATATAATAAATGTGCATATAACAACTTAGGTTGTACTTGTAGCTTAAGCCTTATCAAATAAATGTGAATATATATATATATATATATATATTAATGCTCTATTTTATAAGATTATTTACATAATTCAATATAAACATTATATTTGACTAAAACATGAATACAAAGTTTACCAATTTTTTAAACAGTTCTAAGGTTTAAAACAATTATCTAAAATATGGTGTAAGTTTTTCAATAAATTCTTATTTAATCAAGATTTATTGATGATTGATAACAATATACATATTAAGAAATAAAACAACTATTTGTTATTCTTTTGATTATTTTTTGATCACTCAATTCTAATTTCAAATTATCTTTAATACTTATTTGCCTAAATAAGAATAAAGTGTTCAAATCTTTAAAGATTGTATATTATATATCTTCATTCTTATTTATCAAAAATACATAACCAATCTCTTTATAAATTAAAGTTACTCAATTTTCATCTAATTGTCAATCTTCTTATTATTTCCACTTCATATTTAAAATACAAATAATACTACATTAATTATTGATAAGATTATCTATTGGAAGTTAATTCTAATATTAATGCAATTAGAAGTATTCAATATTTAATTTCAATGAATTACTAGAACATCATATGTCTTTAAGATTGCTTGATCCAATTTATGACCAACCTTACTCCCAAACATTGATTGGGCATTAAACCCAACATGTCTTACCTCAAAGATATAATGACCAAAGGATTAATCTATCATAATTGACCATCTAACATAATTAGATTCTAGAAAATAAAGTAATCATAAAATAAGATACTTTTGTAATAGGGAAATAAATTGAAACAAGAACTATTGATTGTTTTTTAAAAAAAAATCTCCATACAATTCTAGTACAACATTCCAACACTACAAAGTTGTTTCTGCTTGACAGCTCTATACAATATCTCTTATCGAGCTTTGAAAGTTTTTGGTTTACATATCACATGTATTTCAGGTATCTAGACTTCTTCTATACTCATTTATAAAAGTGTGAGCACAAAATACCAAGGGAGAATGAGAACTTAATTGTAACTACTAGTGAGAACTATGTACAGCGATTCAAGTAGGGCCTCAACTGCCTTCCCTGAAGACTACAGTTGCAGGAAGCTGTTTTATTACCAGCAAAGCCCTTTGGCAACAAACTGAAGAGACTCGGACCGTGGTGAGGATTATCAACGTACCGCAACAATGGCAGTTTGGGCCGAAAACCCACATTTTTAACACATCCTAGACCCACTCATCACAAAATGGATCTTAGAATGTGAAAGATTGTGGGCACACAATCAGAAACGAAACAAGCCTTTGATAGTATTCAAAAGACCACGAGGAGGTCTATCACGTCCTTTAATTTCGTAGCCACCTTCATTCTTCTTCATAACGGAGATCTTATCGAATTGCAGAATATGCTCCGGACTGATAAACAACTTCAGTCCGTCCTCGACTATGACTAAAACGTAATCCCGGTATGTGGCACTGGGTTTATGGTCTACTTCGCATTCCATCCCTGCCGCAAGATTCGTGATGTGCCGGTAAATTCCAGCGTTGCCTCCATTGACAGAAAATTCATCATCCGTGGTATTGTGAATGATAGTCGTAACCATGGTTGCGACTCCAGATTCTGAATCCCTATGCCTGTGACAACGATCAAAGCGTATGATCTTCAGAAAAATGTTTCAAGTAAAGAAGGACAAGGGTTAATGAGGACATAGCATAACATCTGTGATCATGTGAGAAAGGTTCGTGATGCACACGTCCATGTGCTTGATATCCAACGATGTCAATATCTTCACAAGTTGTGATGCATTTAAGAGACCAAAAAGAGCAGACAACGGAGGAAAACGCTGTAAAGTCTTGTCGGTATAATTTGTTAGACACCCCAAGGCTTCCACACCCCGATGACATGTGGGTGATGTTAGATATATGGGATGTCACAAACGAACTAGGCACCGACAGTTGTTGTTACAAAAACGTAAGTATTGCGAAGTGAAGCGGCACAAATTCTGATGCAACTACACTCGCGCTTTAAATGATCGGATCACAGTTCACATTAATAGCGAGCAGGAGTCACAACTCACAAGAGCACGCTACCGACAACCGACGATACCCGAGGGCAGCGCGCACAAGATAACAAGCGCAACAACACCAACCCGAGTCGGGAACGCGGTCGGGTCGAGAAGCGAAAAGAGAGCAACGGCAACGAGGTGAGTTCTAATACCTGAGCTCACGCACACACCCTACATGCCCTCTCCAACGGTGATCACGCGCGAAAAAATAACACTAAAATCGCACACCATGCACGTCGGAAAGGGATTCCGACGCTCCGCAGCCGGAGTGGTGGGTCTATGAAGGTTCCTCGAACTCCGGATTAAGGGTTCCTGCTCATGACAATTTCTCTGACACTTCGCGGCATCCACGTTTTCCAAATACGAGCAGGATTGTCCGTTGCGACGAGTTGAACCCATGCAAGGAAGCATCCATCCGCCATACCGAGAAGGCAGGCAAACCGGATTCCCGCTTTCCGCGCTCCACTGTGCAACTCACACAGTCGAATTTCCCTGCATCGGGAGGGACGCGTGAGAGATTCCTCGTTCTTTCCTCCTGTGAATGACCTGATTTCAGGTGAACGGTTACACTTTAGGATGTGGATGAATGAGCTCATCGGTGTGGACGAACGGTGTCCATGGATAATCGTTTGGTGGTTGGATGGATGAATTCCGTTGGATGGAAAACCTGGGGCCAACGAGCTTTATTGGACGATCTAATAGATCTTTAGCATTATAATGAAATTGAATTAAGTTTATATGATCTATCTAGTTTTTTCTTATTTGACATTGATAAGAATCAAGTTACACAACATTAATCATCTATAGTAGTTTTTTTTATATAATAAATCTAAGTTTGATCAAATTATTTATATTAGAGAAAAAATAGTTTATATTATATTTTATTTGAGTATGTTGTTAAGTAAAAGAGAATATATATATATATATATATATATAGTTTTCACTTACTTGTCTACTTATTCTTAGTCCAAGTATAGAAAATATGAGCTTTTGTATTTTTAAAACACATATTTATAAACAAGACTTTGTATAATATACTAAGATTGAAAAATAAATGTTTAGAATTGCATGATTTTGTAACAAAACATATCCATTAAGCTATGTTCAATAGTGTCATTTTTAAAATGTAATAATTATAATTATGATTATATGTATATATATATATATATATATATATATATGTTGCACTATAAGAATATAACATCAATTACTAAGTAATATATATTGCTATAAATATTGGTATACTTTTTAAAAATAGAATATTAAAAAGACCATTTTAATCTATATTAAAAATAATATGTATATATATATATATACATATATATATACATATTATTTTTAATATAAAGTTATATATATATTACTTAAATTTATATATAAGTATGTATATATATATATATATATATATATTACTTAAATTTTTATATAAATATGTATATATATATATATATATATATATATATAGCTTAGCTTTATATTTAAAATATGTTATTATTATATTTTTATTTTATAAATATAAACATATTACTATAGAAAATTAAATTTTAGCCTAATTATTTATTATAATATATTTTCTAAGAATATATCATGAAATGAACACTTAGATATTATCTTCTTTGTAACTAATAATTTTTATTTTATCATTTTTTATTATTTTTTGATAACTATTATATTAAGTCTAATTGGAAAATATACCAAAATATAGTTAAAGGTTTTTTATATTGATTTTAATAAGTGTTCATATTATTATATGTTAAATACCAAATTTGGAGATTCTTCACATGCTTGCATAGCAATACAAAGTTTTTGTTGGTTTATGTGAACGCATGAGTTAGCATAGAGATTTACTACTTTGAATTATGCATTTCTATAAAATAACAATTTACCATGAAAAAGATATAAAATTAAATATCTTAAGGAAGCTAGGAGTTGATTTTAGCAAAAATTACCTCAAGAAAAATAAAAATTGATATTTGAAAAGGATCAATTGCCAACTAAGATCAAAATAACAATATTTTTTATCCACACATCTATGTTTCAATTCTTACATCATTGGTTTATACAAGAGAATATAATTATGAGGCTTGCCAATCTTATGCTCTTTCTTTCTATTGGTTAGAGGTATTTTAAGTCACTATAATTAATTCTTAGAGAAGCCATTTAAATATCTCCTTTCTTAGGTTATTGAAGCTTGTCTTTATGGATAAATCTTTGCCTATTAAAATATTTTAGTTAACATGGTCTTCAACCTTTTTATTTAGAAGTAGAGTTTCTGTCACGGACATACATATAATTACCTATATGAATAGATAAAAGTATGTAAAAGTAGATAAAAGTAGGTTAATTGTATAATATCTTCTAGAGAAGCTTCTTAGAAGCTTCATAGACGCTGCTTTGACTTTATAGGAGTCTATAGTTGACTTTTAGGCTAGAAACTTGGTCAACAAGTTAGCCATGTGCCACACATGTTGGAAGCTTAAAGAACAAGCTAACTACGTGGTCCATCCATAGAAAACTTGCCTTGCAAGCAAAGGCATGTGGCCTAGAAAGTCAACATATATTGGAGGTCTTATAGAACATCGCCATGTGGCTAGATAGTATATATAGAGGCAAGAGTGAAGCCCTCTTCACTCTTGTCAACTCCTTTCTTGCTTCTAGTCTAGTTTCAAGGGTCTCTAGTTTTCTTGTATTTTGGCAATAGCCATTCCAGTTTCTTTCTTAATATACATATTTCTATTTTGTCCTATTTCTTTTTGAGAAAAGTCTCACTTACTCTTTAGCTTTCATCGAGTTCTTGTCCTTGACAGATTGACAAGAGTGCACTTACAATATCAGAGCTTTGTCTTTTCTTGATTAAGAGTGGATTACCCCTTTTTCTTGATAAGACATAAGCGCATTAGAAGTTGCAGATTACCCTCTTTTAAACTGATATTGTTCTTAGTATTTTCTTTGTTATCAATTCCTCTCTTCTATTTTTTTTGAGCGTTATTAGACATCTTCTCTTTTCTAAGTGCTACTATGGCAGAGCTTGTTGAAATGAAGAGTGCAATGGCACAGATGCAAGAACAATTGAGGGAGTTAATGCTTGCGATGCATCAACTCAATTTACCACCACAAGGAGCAACAAGAATGGTAGGAAGTGAAGATATAGAGATGATTGGGGCTGCTTCAACATCTGCACCAAACCATGTCCCTTCTCCCAGAATGGAACACCCTTCGAGTGTTAGAGAACCGAGAGTGGCCTTGCCCGAGAAGTTTGATGGTACCAGATCCAAGTTTCGAGGATTCATCAATCAGGTCCAATTAGTGATTGAACTTCAACCCCAGAGCTATCCAACTCCAGGGTCACAAGTTAGATTCATTGGTACACTTCTTTCAGGTTCAGCATTGTCATGGTTTTCATCTTTTCTTGAACGACGAGATCTAATATTGGATAATCTGGAGGCTTTTTTGGCGGAGTTTCGATCCATGTTTGGAGAACATGATGCAATTCGTGTTGCAACCAACAAGATCCGTATTTTGCGACAAGGCAATCGATCAGTAACATTATATGCTTCACAATTTCGACAACTTGCAACTGATATCAAGTGGGATGATGCCGCACTTGTGAGTCAATTTCTCTACGGATTACAATATGAGGTAAAGAAATTGATGCTTAATTTACCTGATCCTCAAACATTGAGTCAAGCAATTGACTTTGCTGTGAAGTGCGACAATCGACTTTTTGAATTTCGATCCGAGAGTCGCACAAGTGGGCCTCAACGTTACTACAATTCAATGGCAACATCGACGTCTCCTCAACACATACCTTCAGAAGTAGAGGATATGCAAATTGATGCGGTACGTTTCAAACCTCTTACTGAGCAAGAAAAGTCTCGTCGTCGACAAGAAGGATTGTGCTTATATTGTGGAGAACCTAAGCACACTGCTCAACATTGTCCAAAGAAGCGACGTAACTACAAAATGAGGAGTACGGCTGTCAAAGAAGACAGTATGTCGGAAAACGAGTACGTCCAGCTACAATAGGGACCGTGCGGCTGGAATCTTGTACAACTTCTAATGAAGGTCCTATCCTCTCCTCAGAACCATCTCCTTGTTTTATAATAGATGTGCGTTTAGGACCTAATAATTACAAAGCCTCTGCCTTGATAGATTCAGGAGCCTCAGCTTGTTTTTTAGATGAAGAATTTGCTAGATGTCATAGAATATCATTAATACAAAAAACTAAACCTGTACACGTAGAAGTCATAGATGGTCGTCCGTTGTCTTCTGGAGATGTAACTCACGAAACACTTCCTGTAGATGTAGTAATAAATGGTCATAGTAGTTGCGTAATTTTTAATATAATTAGATCTCCCTCTAATCCAGTAATTTTAGGCTTATCATGGTTAGAAAAGTATAATCCTCAAATAGATTGGATTTCTCGTAAACTTGATTTTCCTCAGAGCATTAGTAACAGTTCTATTAATCAAGTAAAAAACCATGAGTCTAGTATAGTAAAACCCGCACTTATAGGTGCAAAAGCATTTATACACGCAGCAAAAGAAGGATCAACTTTTGCTATTTATACTGCACCTATTTCTGAAAGCGTAAAGACTTCAAGTGGCATTCCAAGTCAATATCAGGATTATCAAGACGTTTTTGAGAAAAAGAATGCAGATATTCTTCCTGAGCATCGTCCATACGATTGTTCAATCGATCTCAAGGAAGGAACTCAGCCACTATTTGGACCAATTTACAGTTTATCGCAAGATGAGTTGGCTGAACTCAAGACATATATTGACGAGAATTTAGCAAAGAATTTCATACGCCATTCAAAATCTCCAGCAGGAGCTCCAATTTTATTCGTAAAGAAAAAAGATGGATCTTTACGAATGTGTGTTGACTATCGAGGACTCAACAAGATCACAATCAAGAACAGGTATCCATTACCTTTGATATCAGGACTCCTTGACCAGTTAAATCAAGCTAAGATCTATACAAAAATAGATCTAAGAGGAGCATATAATCTAGTACGGATCAAAGAAGGAGATGAATGGAAGACTGCGTTTCGAACCAGGTACGGACACTTTGAATACAATGACATGCCTTTTGGACTCACGAATGCACCAGCTGCTTTTCAACATCTCATGAATGATGTATTTCGTGAATTCTTAGACAATTTTGTCGTCTGCTATCTAGACGATATCCTGATTTATTCTAAGAATGTTGAAGAACATGAAATACATGTTCGTCAAGTATTACAAAAACTTAGAGATGCAGGATTGTACGCCAAGATAGAAAAGTGTGTATTTCACACTACTCAAGTTGACTTTTTAGGATACATCATTTCAAATGATGGTCTTATGATGGATTCTAAGAAAGTCCAAACAATCATGGATTGGAAGATTCCAAAGACTGTAAGAGATGTCCAATGTTTCTTGGGATTTGCCAATTACTATCGGATCTTCATCAAAGACTTCTCACGAGTTGCAGCTCCACTTACACGCTTGACTAGTAAAGATAAATTCCAATGGAATCAAGAAGCGGAAGCAGCATTTGAAGCCTTGAAGACATCGTTTGTCTCTGCACCAGTCTTATATCGTGTTGACTTTTCCAAGGTATTTTTTATGGAAACAGACGCATCGGATTTTGCCTTGGGTGCAGTTTTATCACAAATGGGAACAGATGACAAACTTCATCCGATAGCTTTTCATTCAAGAAAATTCTCAGCAGCCGAGATCAATTATGAGATCCACGATAAAGAACTTCTTGCAATCGTGGATTCTTTTCAAGAATGGCGTCATTATCTAGAAGGTGCTTCTAATCCAGTCACTGTGTATACAGATCACAAGAACCTCGAGTATTTCATGTCAGCACGCGTGTTGAATCGTCGTCAAGCTCGTTGGAGTATGTCTTTGTCAAGATTCGACTTCATTATCACTTATCGGCCAGGAAAACAACAAGGTTTGTCCGATGCCCTGTCTAGACGTTCTTATTTTGTACCAAAAGAAGGAGATGCAGCTTTTGAGCAACAAAGAACGGTCCTCTTGAAACCGGAGCAATTTCATCTCCGAGCAGTGAAATCAACACTGACTGTTGATTCAACTTTTCTCAAGCAAATCCAGTCCAGTATGTCCTCAGACCCTCTTGTTCATGATATCGAGAATAATTCTTCCAAGTCTCATGATTCTTCTAAGTTCGAGTTTAAGAATAATCTATTATATTTTGAAGGACGCCTATATGTTCCAGAAGGAAAAGCACGTTTGCGTGTTCTTCAAGCACGTCATGACTTTCCAGCAGCAGGTCACTTTGGATATAATAAGACTCTGGAACTCATATCAAGAGATTTTTGGTGGCCACAAATGTGGAAGTCAGTCAAAGACTTTGTACAATCATGTGATATTTGTTCAAGATCAAAAATTCCTCGACATCGACCTTACGGACTTCTTCAGCCATTACCTATACTAGAACAACCATGGTCTTCTGTTTCTATGGATTTCATCACAGATCTTCCAAACTCAAGATCTTATGATTCTATATTTGTGATAGTAGATCGTTTCACCAAGATGGCACATTTTATGCCATGTACAAAATCTATCACAGGTGAAGAAACAGCTAAGCTTTTCATTGATAATATCTATCGCTATCATGGATTACCTAAAGATATCATATCGGATAGGGGAACTCAATTTGTGTCGAGATTCTGGAGGACTCTTTTCAAGATTTTAAAAGTGGACATAAAGCTATCTTCAGCTTTCCATCCTCAAACTGATGGACAAACAGAGCGCGTAAACCAAGTCTTGGAACAGTATTTAAGGTGTACCATCAACTACCAACAAGATGATTGGACAATCCTTCTGCCATTGGCAGAGTTTGCTTATAATAATACAGTACATTCCTCCACGCAACAAACACCTTTCTTTGCCAATTATGGCTATCATCCACGACTTGATACTTTTGATTTTTCAAAAGTTGATAATCCTGCAGCAGAAGATATGGCAAATCAGTTGTCAAAGTTACATGCAATAATGAAGGCGCAGTTGAAGAAAGCTCAAGAACGACAAAAGATAAATGCAGATGTATATCGTAAAGAGCAACCACAACTCAACGTGGGTGATAAGGTATGGCTACTTCGTCGCAATATCAAGACCACTCGACCTTGTGACAAATTGGACTATCGTAGGCTTGGCCCCTTTTCTGTTTCTGAACAGATCAACCCAGTTGCATATCGGTTACATCTACCGGAGTCAATGAAGATCCATCCTGTATTCCACGTGTCTCTTCTTGAACCATATAAGACAGTGGATATACAAGGAAGAAGACAAATGCCACCGCCTCCTATAGAAGTAGATAATAATGAAGAATTTGAGGTGGAAGAGATATTAGACTCAAGGCGGCGCCGAAATAAGCTGGAATATCTTGTTCATTGGCGCGGATATGATATTAGTGAGCGCACATGGGAGCCATCCAGGAATCTAGCAAATGCATCAGCTAAAGTCAAAGTTTTTCATCAACGACATCCATCAAAACCAAGATGAAAACCTCTCTTATAAAAGAGACAAGATTGAGGCAAGATAACATTCAATTTCCTATCCTTGTTTGTAACTTCTTTGCATTTGTGACGCTAATTAGATGGAGAGCCAACAACCAGCGGATTCAACTCAAGAACCTTCGTTTGCTGACTTACCGGATGAGACATTGCGATTGTCACAACCTTCAAGACGACGCAACCAAGATGAAGATCCTCAAGAACGACATGTTCTTCCTCGAATAGATGGTGAGATACAACGCATTTGGTATCACGACCTTGGAAGAGATTCTCGATGTTTGGTGATATTATTGGAGATAGGAACGACTCCTGATGGTGTTTCAAATGTATTATTTGAAGGAAGTTATGAAGGCCTCAACAGTGATCAAATAACAGGGTGGTCTTCTCGCCCTGGAATGGGACACTATCGATGGCTAAGAGGACCCATCAACTATCTTCGAAGAGAACAAAGATCCGAGTATGTAGCAAATACAATTCGCCGCATATTAGATTTTCTCAATATATAATCACCGCTCCTCATGGAACTCGTCCCTAGAAGGGGGGGTAATGTCACGGACATACATATAATTACCTATATGAATAGATAAAAGTATGTAAAAGTAGATAAAAGTAGGTTAATTGTATAATATCTTCTAGAGAAGCTTCTTAGAAGCTTCATAGACGCTGCTTTGACTTTATAGGAGTCTATAGTTGACTTTTAGGCTAGAAACTTGGTCAACAAGTTAGCCATGTGCCACACATGTTGGAAGCTTAAAGAACAAGCTAACTACGTGGTCCATCCATAGAAAACTTGCCTTGCAAGCAAAGGCATGTGGCCTAGAAAGTCAACATATATTGGAGGTCTTATAGAACATCGCCATGTGGCTAGATAGTATATATAGAGGCAAGAGTGAAGCCCTCTTCACTCTTGTCAACTCCTTTCTTGCTTCTAGTCTAGTTTCAAGGGTCTCTAGTTTTCTTGTATTTTGGCAATAGCCATTCCAGTTTCTTTCTTAATATACATATTTCTATTTTGTCCTATTTCTTTTTGAGAAAAGTCTCACTTACTCTTTAGCTTTCATCGAGTTCTTGTCCTTGACAGTTTCAGTAGAAGGGAATTAGGTTTTAATTTGTAAGATAAAAAGGCCTAAACAAAAGAAGAGATGGAACATCTTTACAATAGAGAAGAGCTTCTTAATTATTATACAATAATCCATTCAAAGACAAGTAGAGTGATAGAAAAAATAAACTAAGGGGCTAAGAAAGATAAGGAAGTAGAATGAGACGCAATTGTAATTTAAACAAGAAAATTGAGGAGCAAAAACTTCTAGATATATAAATAAGTGGAGATAAAATAAAAATAAAAATAAAAAATAAAAATAAAAGAAACCAAGTCTATTTGTATAATCCTTATATATTTTAATTATAGTTTATAACCCTTATTCATTAATATTAACTATCCATTAAAACCAAAGCTATAGACAATCAATTCAAAATAGGAGACTTAGAAGAAGGAGACATAATTAATAAATATTGATATTTATTTGATTTTAAAATTTGAAAAAAATTGATATTTTTGGCATGTCTACATGCCAATTTAATAGAAGATAAAAGAAGAAGTGAGTTCTAAGAGACTATAAGGGGTCCAAGGTAGAATAAAAACTAAGAAAAGAGAAAGAATAAAGATGATAAGAAACAAGCTAAAACAAAAAAAAATGAAATCACAAATACATATATAGCTACTTGGCTCTCTTGCCACTTAAGCTTAATCTCTAGACATCATATTTAATCTATACAACCTCAACCAACTAACCAACCTTCTAGAGTTGTTGCTACCATAGCTAAATTTAAAACCTTACGTTAGCATAAAAGTTTTACTTAGTTTAGTACTACAAGGCAAGAAGCAAGCCAAAACTAGGCAAATAACTTTATGAATGATAATCTAGAATATTCACTTATGGTCTTACTTATGATGTGGTTTCACCTAATCCCTAATACTAATCTATAAAGCTCACAAAGATGCAAAGATGCAAGACTTTGACATATGCAAGATAAATAAAAATCAAATTATGTTTAAACTTACATAAGTCAATTAGAATTGTTTTTGATAATCAAGAATTCTAATGCTTGTAATACTTCTTATTATACTTGTTGATTCAAAATTGTCTCAAGGACATGATTGGTTAAGAAAAATCAACCATGTACTTTTTTGTAGCCATAAGAATATGTCATATCTTGAGTTAGTTGTGTAAAAAGTTTCCAAATAATACACCAGAATGCAGTCCTAAAAATTCAACCTCAACTCTTAACAATAGAAGATCTTAATAGAATTGACACTTAATTCTTAGCCCCAAGAGCACCACATCTAGTTGCACAAAGCAATAGACCTCAAGAAGCTCCAGTCTAAAGGGGCACCTCATTCCTTTGTTTCAAATGCCCATATTGAAAACTTTGATTTAAATGCGTTTAAAACAATTTTTTCAGTTTCTAAGTATTTAAAGCTTTTAGGAAAGCAGTTGCACGGCATTGTAGCTAGCAACTGCTTAAACATGAGTTCTAAGATAGTAAGTCCAAAAGCATTGTCCTAGAAGATGACTAAGGTGAAGGCTGAGATTTTGAAAAAGCAAACACTCCGGAAGAAATCTCTGATATCGTTTTGTTCTGCAAATTGGTTTCGAATAAAATCAATAAAAACCTCCACGGCGTTTTAACCGACCATTTTGTTTAAAGCACGTTTAAGATGATTGTCTCAATTTCTTTTGATTCAAACGGAGCATTATGCCTCACTCAAACAGAGCTGGTAGAGAGGCAGGTGCATTTCCTTGTAAGCAAGTGCAATGACACTCTGCACCTCACATACTTCACATCAATATACTGATCACATCCTAACCCGACACTGGTAGATGAAAAAGACATAGACGATAATAGTAAAACACTATTATTTCTGCATCGTTATACTCAGCCTTGCATTGCTAAGAATGAGTCAGACTTCGGTACCGGTCATGTTTTTTAAATCCGTCATGAGCTCCAGAAAGAACCCAACAAATAAATTGTAATGCAAGAACCATGCCAAACATACTCGTGAATAATAGGAAATAAGATCCATAACTGCCCTCAGTCTACGGTAAGAGTATATTCCACCGAACATAGAATCAGCCTTCCGTGAGTTGATTCAAGTCGACATACCTATAGGAACTCAGCAAGGCAACGACTATGTTAAAATCACAGGAATTTCTAGTCCCTAAATGAAGTTCTAGAAGTAAGTGTGCTGCCGGTAAGCATTGGACTCCTGCTGAAGTTCATAATGTACAAAGAAGACCAGCATAACACCTCAGGGAATCAATCAACAATTCAAGGTGAAGAGTCAAAGGAAACTAGGAGATAGTATGCACACACGGCAGACTTGGGTTGGTTGCTTACTAAAACATGCAACAACTCAAATGGATTGGTTTGAATGTAATAAAAACAAAACCTGTGGGTGTCTAGCTTCAGGTTCGACAGACGATTGGGTTGCAGGGAGGTGTAGCTTCAAAGGAGCAATCACTTCTACCCCATCGTGCGAAAGGGGGAAGTTTCATGTGACAAAACCTGCAAGATACCATGGAGAGTACCTACGACCCCTTTTCAAGAAGGTTTGTCAACTCCACCTTTCACAGAAATGTGATGCGAGATACCACTACCATTGCTAACCAAATTATGATCTAAGAAGACGACTACCACTGTGATGTCGTCATGAAAGTGTCTCCGGATACCACGCTCGATCTTCTTCAGATCCGAGTACCGCATCTCTCGCTTCTTGGCCGCTTCATGAAGAGCGTATCGAATGAGCTGCCTGGCGATGCCAGCGCGCGGGTATTTGTGAACAATATCCACAGCCTCTTGGTTGGACAAGTGCTCCCACAACCCATCTGATGCAAAAATCACAAACTCCACATCTGGGGTCAGATCGATTACTCGGATGTCCGGCTCGGCGCTCATGACGGGTCTCTGGAGCGGCTCTGGCAGGCGGAACCGGCCGATTAGAGGCTCACGGTTGAACTCAGCCTTCTTCAGATAAACGTCGCCAATGGATCGAGAGACTTGAATCAAACCCTTCACACGCCACACTCCGTGCCTCAGCACAACAATGCGCGGGTCATCAGGATGCGCAGCTTGCAGGTCCTGCCTAACAGCCTCAACACTGGCGTTATGCTCAGTGGATATCTCCGTCGCAATTACTGATTGCAAATTGCGAGAGAATCTACCGAGCACAGCCTTAGAATCACCCAGGCTGGCGATGTACAGCTTACACTCCCACACCACACCTACCAGGCAACAGGAACCAACGGCAGCAATCTGGGGCTTCGTGAGCCATGAATCCCTTACGATTTCCAAAAACCCCTCCTCGGTCTGCTTAAAGGCTTGCTGAAGAACCTCACTAGACATTCCCCCATGTTGGGTGGCAAATTTCTGTAAATGGCGGTACAAACTGTCATTGACGTAACGAGAAGCTTCCGGGCCACCATGGCCATCGTACACCCCAACAAAGGTACCAAACGGTCCAGTTTCCACTTGGACCATGTCCTCCAAGATAGCATTCGCCTGAACTGCGGCAATAGAAAACTGTCCTGCGGCATGATCACCCAAATCTTTGTGCCACAGCAGTGGGTCGTGGTTATCTCCATTCTCCTCCCCCAGGTGCGTGTATTTTTGCACCGGACGCCAACATGCCATCAACATCTTCATTACCCACTCTACCATCTCTCAGACGTCCTTCTTCAACCAGCTTCTTCATATTTCCACTCCATATCCTTTTCGCTTCTTCCTGTACATTCGACTGACAAATAATAACTCCACTCTTTCCTCCACATTCGCCTCTCCTTCCACGTAATCCCCTATAAGATCCCAGATACAAATGTACAAATGCCACCTGTTTCCTCGAAAGTTTATCTAAAGACTGCGAGCGAAGAATCACGCTGTGATGTACAAATAGGGAACCCGTCCTGCCTCACAACGTAGATTGTCCAGAGTATTCACCAAAAATAAGTAAATTCGTCCAAGGGCGATAAACGCCCTCTCCTGATCACAAATGAAGCTAACGCTTGTTACTTTCGTGTTGCACCTGGATCACCACAATCAAAGAGCATATTTAGAACCTCATTTCCCGATACACTGGTCTGTGTCGCAATCAAGTTGCGCTAAACATTCTGTGCACAGTCGTAGAAAACACTGCAACATACTCTAACCAAGAAGGAGGAAAGGCAGTGAAAAAGAGTCGCAATCCACCCCCACCACACACACACACACAAAAAAAAAAAAAAAAAAAAAAAAAAAAAAAAAAATCACGAGAGACGAAGTTGTGAGACGTAAGATCGTTAGAACTTCCAGAGTGAAGTCAAAGAAGCTTCTAACAAAATTCTAGTGCTACTGCTACCTAGTAACGATCCCAAAGTACGACTCAGACTGATTTCCAGCTCGTGAATGTTAGGAGCACTCAGCTACCTCTCTGATTGAACTGCGTTGGCAAGACACGCACAAAACTTATCGTTGCGCAGTGAGAGGACCTAAAGATTCCCAACAAAATCGGATTCTAAACCAAAAACTTACAGAGCAATTCTACAGGCGCACTTAAATTTCGCTACTTGTTTGGCCGGAATGTTGTCGCATAGGCACGTAATAGCGACAAGTCAGAGTTACAAGAGGGGTTGTATACCATCTTGGCCCATTTCCATTTCCCCTGCCTACAGAAGCCAAGTTTTCATACAACCATCCGCATAGGCATACTTTCGGTACCGTCATATGCCACTGCATGGTCAGCCTGTGAAAGACCAAGTGAGGAAAACGTGAGAAACAATTTGATGAAAACTCTGGATACCTTCTGTACCGTGCTCTTCCATTTCGCAAACACCGTGACACACTGTACACACTTTCCAATGCCCCCAAAAACGAGACCTCAATCTCCTTGTTCACTGAGCCGAAGTTTCGTGCGAAGCTCTAACGGTATACCGACCTAGCTATAGAGGAGGGTGTTCTCTAGCTACTACAAACTAGTTGTCTAAACCCGGGGGGAAAGAAGGCGAATCAGAGATTGATTTCGAGGAGGGTCCTACAGACTTGTAAGACCCAAAAGAACGACAAGGACATGAAAGACCTCTGCAAATAAAGATTTCACCAAGACGAAGTGATCGAAACGCAACCCTAGTTGTCATAACTTTTCCGAATATCCTTCAGATTTAGCAAACAGATCATCCCACCATGAAACTTCAGCTCTAAAGTCCTCAAAGATCGAATACAGTTGACCGGCATCACAAGCTAAATCCCTCTTCAGCAATTTTCTCCCAAAAAAAAATGAGCGTATTACTGCAACCCGTGCATAATTGTAGTATTTAAGGCTTCACATCTCTCAATACACGAACCATGACAATCCCGTATTACCACAGACACTACTGTACTTGTCAAAACAATCCTTCCACACACGAGGTACCAGCCACTAAAGCCACAATCCTCAACAAACCCTACTCAGACGCAGCAAGTACCAAAAACGAGGCCGAACAAAGGGAAAAGCAAGTTTAAGAAGGATCACAATCCAAAATCCAAAATCCAAATAAACGAAAAAAAAAAAAAACAAAACAAAACAAAACAAATCGACACATACCATAGACATAGAGTTCATCCTTCATCCGGTAATCCATCCGACAATTCAGACTCTCTCAAAAGTTCCCAGTGACCGATCCTTCAACGAGAAGCTAACAATTCCAAACTTCAATCTCGTAGATGTCTAAAGCTTTGTGAAGCCATTCCATCACACGACCCCGAAGACCTAAACCCAAAAGCAAGAGCGTGCTTCGAAACACCACGAAACCCGCACAAGCCAAACCCTGTAGGCCGACAGCACGTCGCAACACACCGACACACACCCCACTCAACCTCCCACAAACCCTACTTCTCCGCAGATGTGAGCTCACCACCACTACACCCCATCCTCCATTACACCGATGCGTGCGTCGCTGAAGTACCTGAAAGCCCTAGAATTTCAAAGATGATGGTGAAGTCCGCACCTTTCATCGCTCAATCGCACCAAGAACCATCGCAGCGAATCCTCACCGCACCATCCTCTCGCTCCGCCGCCACTTCTCACACATGAGCGTTAATCTCTATCACCCTACAAACCACTCTCACTGTCTCTCTGTCTCTCATGGGATGCGCCCGAGCTCGAGTCCAGGACTGAAACTAACCCACCGACTCCCAGGTGACGTGACGAACCCTAAAATACCCCCAAAAGCACGCACCAGCTCAGACCCAAACTCCTGGCAGGAAAAAAAACGATCCGCCCCTGCAGGGTGTGAAGATAAAAATAAAAATTAAATTAAATTAAAATCCAAGAGAATGTTAACGCTGCGGTAAAGCCTCCGCCACAAGGGGAGGAGGAAGGAAACCAACACGAGGCTCCTCAAGATCTAGGCTGGCGCTTCGGGTGGACAAGGTGGGTGATGACGAAGACGACGAACCAACTGGCCTCCCGTCCCTCGTTCTTAGTGCCAGTAACACGAATCACCAAGTCAGGGAATCGCCGATGCGTTGGGTCAAATGACTGGAGGCTGACTCTTGCTACTCTCACCCTGCAGCAGCAGCAGAAGCGGAGGGCGAGTAGCTGGAGTAACGCGAAGAGCGAGGAGGAGCTGCAGTTTGTTGCTATTGTTGATGTTGTAATTGTAGCCTGTACCTATTGTGGTAATGACTGACTGCTTGGTTGCTTGTGGGTAATGTTCCCAACACGCGAGCCATCCAGCCAGCAAGCAAGCGAGCAAGCGAGGTCCAAAAAGAGAGAAAGAGTGAGAGAGAGAGAGATCCCTCGACCTTCTCCCCCTCGAGGTATCATCGATGATAATCCTCCTCCGTCGGGTGCGGCAGCATCATCATCATCATCGAGCCATCCATGATCCGAGGTAGTGTGTGAGAGAGAGACACACACACATCTCCCCGCAGTAGTAGCAGCAGCAGCATTGAGTGGATGAGTTCCCCGTAGCAGTAACAAAATATAATCCCCTCCCCCCACTTCCTGTCTTTCTTCCCTCCTTCCTTCCTTTCTTTGCAATTCCTCCTCCTGTTTGCCCGTCTTCATGGGCCCCGCTCTCCCTTCATCCCTCCCTCACTTCATTCCCTTCACCGCCATAGTGCCTGTTTCTTCTTCTTCTTCTCCTTGTCTCGTGCTTGACGACCACACCCGCTTCGCCATGTATCCACCTCACTGGCTACGTGGACTTCCTGCTACTTTTCCACTTTCAACCCATTCCTTGGTTTTGTAGTTTTTTCTTTTATTTTATTATTGTTATTACTATTATTACTCTTTTTGGTTTGTGAATGAGTTGGTGAGTTTTCATTTACATGGGAATGCACGTGGTTGAAAATACATTAACACATGTAGAATTAGGATGCTTTGGAATCATACGTGGGTGTGTTGTGTGCTGTACTTGTTGGGATTGGGCATCTGTGTGTGCGGGTGTGTGGGTGTTTTTTTTAATTTTTTTAAATTTTTGGAGATTAAATGCTCACAATAATTGTATTTTTTTGAAAAAGATTTTTTTGGACTTTTAAATGTACAACAATATGAGCTATTTTTAGGATTCAATTGAGATACGTATTGCAGATCTTAAAGATATTTACTTTTTCTAAATAAGATCAAGTAGTGCATCATTTTTCTACCTTGTATTGAACTATCAATGTATTATGCAAATTATACAAATTCTTTAAGGGAGTCATTTTAGGTAGGCACCTCCCATTTTACAGTGTGGACACTCCTATGTCACACACCTTTACATACACACAATAAAACTCATATTCTCACTAAAAACTTTAAGGATAAATTTCCAATAAAAAGTTTGTGTGCACTGGTTTATGGCATTTTATGTAGAAACTCTTTAATTGTAAATTTATCATTAAGATTTACAAACATGAATTGGAACCTCCAAGCTCAAACTTGCTAATACACAGTCATATTGGGTGCAACTCTGCCATGATGTGGTGGTTTAAAATCATTTAACACCACAAGTACACAATTTTCATGTGCACAACATTCACAAAAGCAATGAAAAGAAAATAAAAGAATAGAAATGAAGAAAGAAAAAGAAACAATAATGCGACAATTGTTACCAATAAAATTCATGAACACATGAAGCTTTTAATTAACCTACAAACTCAACTAAAAGCAATGGAAGCCGCACCTTAACCTTTACTAAGTGAGTAAGTTCATCATCATTTTCGTCGTCGAAGTCATTGCTGCAAAAAATGATGCTACTTGCTCGCAATGCAATTCCTTTAAATCATTCGGATTCGGACAAGGTTGAGACGATTCCAAGGAAAATGCAGGTGTCGGAGAATGGAATGGGCGTATGGTCTTTACACGTCCAAGTCTTGTCACTCAAGTCACAGACTTGCAGCGTGTTGAATGCAGCAGGATCCACATCACCTAGAAATTTAGTTGCGAGATGGCTAGTAAATGAGATACTTCCATGGATCCTCCCTTTTTGTTGCTTCGGAGGATACTGAGTAGACGACTCGTATCGACAATTCTTCGCTAGCGTCGAAGACTTGGAACTCATTTCGTAGAATACACCCAGGCTGTGAGCTTCGGTGGAAGTGTGTTTGTTTGCCGTCCAGAGTGTTTCGTGATTCGTGGCTGCACTTTCTCAGACTGCTTCATGGTTCGAACCTGCCCCTCAGTGAAGCTTCATCATCTGTGTGAAAAATCCAAGACGTGGAAACGAGCTTCTCTCGTACTGGTCTCGGGGGTTGTGGACGTGAATCTTCCAGTACTGGACCTCGGAATCACCTTGACTGGAAGCCCGTTTCCGTTGTCGCAGAGGTCCGCACTTAGTGTGTGTTTTTTTGGTTTTCAAGACAAGAAGTGCATCACGAAGTGCTTGTTCGCGCCCTTTCCTTTTGAGCCAGCAAGGCGCGCCGGAAGATTCATCAAGCACCTTCGAGAGAGTCTCTTTGGTAGAATGTATAGTTTCAAATGCACGATTCTAGTACGAGCTCTGGAGCGGCGAGATTAGGAGAGAAGGGGACGGTTGCGCAAGCGCGGGGGCTCAGTGTTCCAGACGCCACCCAACCATGCGAATCTCCAACCGTGCCTCACATCCTCAGATCTAAATGTAGATGGAATGATGGGTTGCAGATGTGGAATGAGCACATGGATTGTTTGAGTGGCATGACATTTGCCGAAGGCGCTAACGCGGATGAGGTGGTCCTGCGACCACGCGAGACACCCGTCAGGCGCCCTGTTGTCTGGAAACATGCCGCACTGTTTTATCCTGTGTTTTCAATGAGTCGAAAGATGGTGAGAAACTTTCACGGTTTCGCCGTGGCGGCGGGTGCAGATCAGGTTAGGGTCTATTGGGGTTGAACCCTGGGCTGACGCGGCACAGGAAGCCTGAGCTCCTATTTTTCTCTTGTGAATGTCGCGACGTGCAAAAGGAGCCCATGAACAGTTACTCATCTCCGGATAACTAGTGTGCTTCAATCGATCTGCCGAAGATTTTAAAGCTGTGGCATTCATCTAGCCTGTTCCATGGGTGTCGGATGATCAAAATATCCAAACACCATCTTTGCCGATTCTTAAGTTACAATGGATTCCAAACTGATTTACATTGTTTAAAATAATCGCCGACGTGGGGCGACAGGTTGATCGACAAGTGTAACACATGGGGGAGATCCAACCTGGCGACCGATCAGGTGGTCAATAAGACACATCGGAGTAATCGGATTGGTTAGATCGATTGTTTTGATCATATCGACATCGATTGATCGGAGTCTGCTGGCCTGGACCTGTCTGATGGAACGACGACACCGGAAAATAAACTGGAGATTTGATTATAGAGGCCAGTGATTGACGTTGATGTAAATTTAGGGCTTGATCAGTTATCAGTTGGTGCAGGGGATGGGCAGACTGTTGCAGGCATCTCTCAGGAATCTCTGGAACTGGAATCTGGCAACACGGATTCCAGCTTATCAGTAGCATATTTCCCAAGAGACAAGTGAATGACTCGTTACCACCAACAATCATCGATCATCAATAGTGCGTAGGTCATCGGGCTGCGGTCTTGCTTGACCTACCCAAATGTGCAAATGAACAGCCCCTTGCTCAATTTATGCATGTTATAACGGTGATTTGTTGGTAGTGGTCGGCGTGGTAGCTGGGAATGTGACGCATCAAGGACGATGTGTTTTTTGGTCTCTCTGATCCTACAACAAGGCAACGTAACTGGGGACAAAGAACAGGGTTTCGCCATCCTCAGCCGGCAACGTCAAGAGGACTCGTGTTTGCTCGTGCGCTCTCTCTCTCTCTCTCTCTCTCTCTCTCTCTCTGCTTTTATTAGGCGCTTTAGAAACTCAAAAGCCTAGAAATCTTGCGCGAGCCAATTGAAACAGTTCAGAAAGCTGCTACGAGTCGCTACTTCGCTCTAAAGGATAGCTCTCAAACTGCACTAAAATAAGAGTCTAATTTACAAACCCTAATCCTCCACTATCGTCTTTTAATCTCCCACAAACCCCGAAGAATCATTGCTTGCACTTTTATTGCGGTCAATGTGACACTGCCGACATCTGTCGTTTACAATTGATGATGTTTGCTGTCACTTCAGTTTTATGATAGCACAGCATTTCAGAGCTTAGAATCTTATCTGCAAATCAACAAGTGAGACTTGTTCGGGACATGGAGGGGTAGGACTCTTGTTCAGTGAGCTTCAAATTCGTAGCTTTTCTCGAGTCCTTCCAGCTTGTTTGTGATTGAAAGTGTTGTGAGAAAAAGATCTTTGCAGTGACTTTGCAACTTTTATTTGTTCAGATGTTCTGTGCCTGGCAGGGCAGGGTAAAATATTCGGAGGAAGGGTTTTGATGGCAGAGCTAGATTTTTGCGAGGCAATTCAGCCAAATTATATTGGCGTTCTGAGTATGCTTCGTCAGAGAGGAAACGTGGACGGTTATTTCGATTCTTTTCATGAAATGAATCTGGTCAACATGAGAGCTGCTTCTGTCAGTTCCACATGAGTTCAATTTTCTATGAATTCATGAGTGTTACCTTTGTAGACCAAATAATACTCTATTTCTCTAAGGGAAGAAGAACCGTAGCGCTCTCCACGTGCCTTGCTTTTCAACATAAGGATGCAGACCATTTGCATGAGTCGAACTTAGATGCTAAGTGCAAAAATGTCTTGGCCAAGTTTCCAATAAAAACTCCCCCCCACAAAACTAAACAGTTTGCAAAAGATATTGTAGATGGAGTTACATTTGAAACTATCACTAATCAAGTCCCTCGACTTTCAAAAAAGGATAGGAATTGCTCATTATTTTATGCTAAATTTGTTATGATTACATTTGAACGATTAACATCTCATTTTTTGCAGTATCAGCTATTCAAAATCCACATATTGGAGCATTCACATGAATGCAATGAAGTTTCATTCATATTCCTGAACTTGTAGCAAGTTATACTTGGGATGATTTTCAAACAATAATATGTTAATTTGTGGACGAACGATCACCAGTGACGGTTAGTGATTGGAAAAGAAGTACAAGACATCGCAGGTTTCAAAGCAGATTGTTTGGTGATCTGCTATTGTGAAAAGCAAAAGTTGCCAGACAGTCTACTCCTTCCATATGCACACGTGAACTTCTACAACATGAAGCAACAATCCCAAAATGGTCGGCAAGATCAATATGTATGTCATGAAAAATGAACGCTGCAGAATATAAACTGAGCATCTTTCAGAGCTTTGAAAACAGCGATGAGAGAAGATCATAGAATTATGTTTCAATTATCACAACTCTGCAATAATGCAATTTCGTCGCATGGGAAGGTAAGTGGCCGATGCATGAGTAATGACTTTAATCCCGAAGTTGCAAAATTCTTGTACATGGGCTGCTTGATGAGTTGCATTAAGCATTGGATGGCTGAGTTGTAGGAGTAACTCAACAGTGGGAAGTTCATTAAACTGTAGCGGTTGTAGAGTTGGATTCCGATGGGAATTCGAGCAGAGATTCTGATAGGATTGGACCCAGTTGAGGCCTGAGCGAGCAATAGCGCCGAAAGCGATTGGGACCGGCTGGGGTTATCCAATCACGAATTTCGAAAAGATAATGGATGAGTCTTTTAAACATCTTCGACGTGGACTACAAACGCCATGTTCTGCACTCATCTAGCTGTTAATATTTCGATCACATTCCCGTACCAGATTATCAAATAGTTTGCAACAGTCCCTGTCAAAGCAAGCTTGTTTTTGTTTCAAGCTTGGAGGGATCTTGAGATATACATCAACCTAGGGCTCTTTCTGCAACATCGTTTCAGTCGTTCAACTTCGATTCTTCGTCCTCGAGTGCTCACAAAACCCTGCAAAAAATTCAGAAGGGGTTCATGAGAACTGTGACAGGCCGCTCTTCATCTCGGAGCCTCGCCAGATTCGGTGCACTTGCAGACTATACTTCAGTCGATTCCGCAGCCGCATCCCTTGGGCACATGCTGAAGAAACAAAAACAAACTCTATTCAAAGCCCCTCCGAAGGCGAGTTTTCTGGCAACGCACTCCAGAGTCGCTTCCCGAGCTGCGACAGTTTGGAGACAGACCTCATAACATGCATATAGGCATTGGGAAATGCGCTAGACGGCGTGCTTCTCATACCGGCCAGCAGCAGTCAATGATGCGGCCTCGGCAAATTGTAACAGTTGCTGGCGGTTTTAACGAAACGTGCCTCGAAAGTGCCTTTCTCAACACCGTTGGTGTACAGGCTCTTGATTCTCTTCCCCTTTAGACCTCTTCCGGTTCGTGCACTTGCAGTCTTTTCCATGTTCACAATCATACAAAACCGAAACTGACAGTGCTATTATCGATAAGCATGCACTTAAACCAGGGTACTAAAACCCCCAACTGAAGTACCCATGTCAGCCACAAGCGCACACACACACTCACACACTCACACATATTATAAGTTATTCTCTTTAATTAAACTTGATACTTAGATGTGGGTGCTAGAGTATCCTTTCTGGCAGTAAGAGTACATCTTAAAGTGTATGAGTTCATTATCTGCTGAGACTGCTGTGACTTATTTGCAGTGCCATCTCGGCAAGATCTCAGCTGAAAGACGCCATCGCAGCACAGTGGATTCATGGATTGGTGCACAAAAATGTTAGATTCGTAAGCTCTCCTTTAGTTCTAATAAGAGTAGGTGGCGTACCATGCAGTTATGGAAATGCATAGATTGAATTTCGGTTACTATTTGGTTTCTGATCTGCAAGTTTTACTTCATTGTGGGTTATCACAATCTCATACCTAACATGATAACCTTGAAGGTTTTTAAAGCTTGGTAACATAGTTTTGGTTAATGTACTGGTGATGGTGATGCAAACTTGATAATTTGTTACGAAATAGTATTGTTGAGCAACCACACTATGTTTCATATTGGTGTACTTAAAATATATTTGATACAATGCTAGCTGGATATAAGTTAAAGCATACCGGATTCGGAATGGTGGGAGTATCAAAATATGCAAGGACGAACTTATTAAATCTTATTCTCTTATTATTATTATTATTATTATTGTTGTTGTTGTGGGTCCACAATGATGGACTGTCAAGATGATAGGATTCAGAACCTCAATATAGGGATTTATTAACAAGGGTTGTCATGTAGAGGACAACCATGTTTTTAGGACCAGCATCCAGTGTTCATAATGGAGTTAATTGCCTAGAATAATAGTGGAGCTTGAGATAAGCGGTTATCCAAAGATTTGTTCATTACTTATTTAATATCAGTTTTGTAGAATCATCCACAAACTTAATCATATAGATACATATTGTTTTAACAAATATTTTTATGGATTAAAATCCATTTTTCTATATGTGTTTTTAGGTTTTATAAACTTGTATTAGTTAGAGATTCCAGAGTAAGTGAAAAGTAAAGATAATTGATATATAATAGATGTTCAGATTAAAATTTTGCATCAAAAAAGTATAATATTTTTTTATAATATATTTATTTAAAAACATATATGAGTTGAAGCGAAAATCATTTAATTATTAATATTCAGTAACCAAAAAATATCAGTAACTAAATGACTTTTGATAAAATTTAATTGAAGATGTAAATATAAGATATAATTTTTAGTGTTTATAAATAAGGATACTCTAACTAATACAATGATACTTAATTATACCAAAATATGTTTGTGATAATTTTTTATTATTAAAGCCATATAGTATGATTTTATATAAAAATTAAAAAATACAATATATACTTGTATACATAAATATAACTATTCAATGTTAATATTTGTTGTAATAATATATTATAACAATTTAATCCTTCTTCTTACATCTATATATATATATATATATATATATATATAAATAAGAAAAAATCATAATAATTAAATATCCAAGTTTATAATTTATTTTTTAACATACTTTTAAATCCTTCAGTAACTTATTTTAGCTTTTCAAAAGTCATTAAAATTTTCTGGTTATGTTATCAAATATGTTTTTAAAAATATTGTATTGATTTTCATCTGATTCTTCTTAAGATTGTTTTTTATTTTCAATAAATATCTTTTCTTAGTTGATTTTTTTATACACTCTAATATTTTATGTTTGTCATCTCATCAACTACAAATTTGTTGCCTAATTTCTTTTGTTGTTTAATTTAAATAAAAATATTAGAGATAAGACCTTTTGAATGAATTTTTATTTTTTATTTTTATTTTAAGTATTACTTTTATTTTTTATTTTCTAAAATTAGTCAAATTAATATCCATAATAATAAAAAAATTAAAGTCATTTTAAATTATGTATATCTATTTTTTCCTCCAAATAATTAGAAATTTGCAAATATATGTTCCAATTTAGTATTTCCATATAATTGGATTTTACTAACAGAACTAATAAAACAAGATAAGTTAAAAATGTTTTTCAATCTATATCCTAGTGGGCATTTATGCTAGTACATGTGTTCTTTAGGAATATGATATTGGTTTAGACAGTAATATTTTAATGATTATGATTTTAAAATTATATATCTAAATTATTAATAAAACTTTATTTCTAATTTGAATGTTTAAAAAATCTAATGTAATCAATTAAATTTATTTTTACTTAACTTTTGTATTTACTAACAACTATTAATGAAATCAAAGACAAGTCTATAAAATAATATAAAAGAACAATGGATACAAAATAGGGGAATCATGTCTACAACTTAAATATTGTAGATGGTTAAAATAAGATCAACTTATAAAAGAGAAAATAGAAGTGTTATGTAATGTAAGTTAATACAGCACAATTATTATTATTATTATTATTTAGTATGTTTAATGTATGTGCAAAATATTTCAAAACTCAATTATTCTATAATTCAATCATAATCTTTTAAGCCCTCAAATTTTATATAAAACAAAAATCAATAATAAATCTTTTGATGAAATGAAAAAAAATCACTGTTTTGTTCAGAATTTTATTTTTATTCAATCTGCTTCTCTTCTAATTTTTAATTTTTTTTTCGGTTTGGATTATATTTTGAAAATTAAATAATTATTAAATATTAATTTGTTATGTGTTAAAAAGTTATAAACTTGATATACTTAGAAGTCTTATTTTAACATTTATGATTTTTTTGAAAAATATTTGTATGCAAAATTTTTAAAAATTATATTTATTTAGGAAATTATAAATAATCCAAATATAAATAATAAGAATAGTAAAAATAAATAATAGATTGATCTCATATTTTTGTTATTCTTGTAAATACAAATCCTATAGTCTATTAAATACTAATCTAGATTATTGACTATGAAACTTATGAAATATTGTGCCTAATGACAATAAGATATAAATCAATTACCTATTAAATTATTGCCAAGATCCCTTGATTACTTAGCTTAACAATGGATTTGATACATTCACATTTGCATATATATATATATATATATATATTGATGATTAATTAAATATACCATAGAAAATTCAAATAGATATGATTAGAATTAAATTTAAAAGATATACTTGTTTTAAAATATTGTACATTTTAAAATATAAAGATAACATAGGTATATAAAGTAGTATTTTTATTAGGAAAAGACTACGTGGATACATCTATGTAGACCATGTGGACACCTCCTATGCCATACACCTTTGCATATATATATATATATATATATATTTTGACATAATTACTTTTATATTTCAAATAATTAATTATAACCATTTGGAAATTTAAGAATAAAATATTAATTAGTAGGAAATTAAATATGATCTAATAAAAATATTAAATTTATATTTATTTAAAAGAAGATTTGATGCTTTGTATTAAAATAACAATATATATATATATATATATATATATTTTTCTATATTCCTATATAGATATTGAAATAAATTAATAAATT